CCTCTCAAACCCAGCACTACAAGAGGTAACATCTGTCACTTTTGTTAGTGATCCTGTAAGGAGATAAAGAAAGCAGGACATATGTTTACACTGGACTGACTACTCCTCCCTTAGGGTCTTACTATCACCCTGCTACAGGTCAAATGTGAAGTACAGTATAAGAACAAGTCTGTAAATCCTAGGCAAAAAATTTAAAAATATTGTTTCAGCCCTTTATTTACATAGCTCTGCTTATGATAGAGCTTTTCATTTTCATATAAATATATTATTTTTTTTTTCTAAGACATATATTACTTTTTTTTTTCCAACAAAAAAGTCTTTCTTATTAACAGGTAACAGGATAACTAAGCCCTGGAATAGATCGCATTGAGCTAACCTTGTCTTTGAGGAGGGGCATGGGTTAAATTGTGTCGGTGACGTCAAGATTGGAGGCAGCCTGGGCTGCAGTGATCATGCATTGGTGGAGTTAACAGTCCTGAGGGATATGGGTCAGGTGCAGAGTAAAGTCAGGACCCTGAATTTTAGAAAAGCAAAATTCCGCTTGTTCAAGGAATTAGTCAACAGGACACCCTGGAAAACTGCCCTCAGGGACAAGGGAGCAGAACAGAGCTGGCAGATCTTTAAGGATGTTTTCCATAGACTGCAAGAGCTCTCGATCCCCAGGCGTAAGTCTGGAAAGGAAGGGAAAAAGCCAGCATGGCTGAGTCAAGATCTGCTGGTCAAACTAAAGGGGAAGAAGTAAATGCATGGGCAGTGTAAGTAGGGATTGGTATCCTAGGAAGAGTATAGGGACACTGCCCACTTGTGTAGGGATGGGGTCAGGAAGGCCAAGGCTCGACTGGAGCTGAACTTGGCAAGGGATGCAAAGAATAATAAGAAGGGCTTCTACAGGTATGTCAGCCAGAAAAGGAAGGTCAAAGAAAGTGTACCTCCTCAATGAGCAAAACCGGCAAACTGGTACCAAAGACAAGGAGAAGGTTGAGGTACTCAACAAATATTTTTGCTTCAGTCTTCACTGACAACCTCTGTTCCTACACCTCTTGAGTGGATGGACTGCAAGACAGGGGCTGGGGCAGCAAGATCCCTCCCACTGTAAGAGAAGATCCGGTTTGAGACCACTTGAAGAACCTGAACATACATAAGTCTATGGGACCTGATGAGATGCATCCCAGAGTCCTGAGGGAATTGGCTAACATTCTCCATGACATTTGAAAAGTCATGGTAGTCAGGTGAAGTCCCTGATGACTGGAAAAAAGGAAACATTGCACCCATTTTTACAAAGGGTAGAAAAGAGGACTCTGGGAACTACCGACCTGTCAGCCTCACCTCTGTGCCTGGGAAGATCATGGAGCAGATCCTCCTGGAAGCTATGCTAAGGCACATGGAGGACAGGGAGGTGATTCAAGACAGCCAGAATGGATTCACTAAGGGCAAGTTCTGCCTGACCAACCTAGTGGCCTTCTATGATGGAGTGACTGTATCAGTAGACAAGGGAAGAGCTGTGGATGTCATCTACCCAGACTTCTGTAAGTCCTTTTACAGGGTCCCCCATAACATCCTTCTCTCCAAATTGGAAAGATATGGATTTGATGGGTGGACTGTTTGGTGGTTCAGGAATTGTTTTGATGGTTGCATCCAGACAGTAGTGGTCAATGGCTCGATGTCCAGATGGAGACTGGTGATAAGTGGTGTCCCTCAGAGGTCCATATTGGGACCAGTGATGTTTAATATCTTCATCTATGACATGGACAGCAGGATCGAGTGCATCCTCAGCAAGTTTGCGATGCATCTGAAGGATGGGATGCCATCCAGAGGGACCTGGACAAGTTTGAGATGTGGGCCTGTGTGAATCTCATGAGCTCCAACAAGATCATGTGCAAGGTCCTGCACCTGGGTTGTGGCTACCCCAGGTATCAGTACAGGCTGGGGCATGTGTGATCAAGAACAGACCTGTTGAGAAGGACTTGGGGGTACTGATAGATGAAAAGTTGGACATGAGCAGGCAATGTGTGACTGCAGTCCAGAAGGCCAACCATATCCTGGGCTGCATCCAAAGCAGTATGACCAGTGGGTCGAGGGAGGGAATTCTGCCCCTCTATTCCGCTCTAGTGAGATCCCCCCTGCAGTACTGCCTTCAGTTCTGGGGTCCTCAGAACAATAAGGGTGTGGACCTGTTGGAGTGGGCCCAGAGAAGGGCCACAAAAATGGTTAGAGGTTTGGAACACCTCTCCTATGAAGAAAAGCTGAGAAAGTTGGGGCTGTTCAGCGTGGAGAAGACAAATCTCTGAAGAGACCTTAGAGCAGCCTTTCAACAATTAAAGGAGGCCTACGGGAAAGATGGGGAGGAACATTTTAGCAAGGTCTGTTGTGACAGGACAAGGGGTAATGATTTAAAATTGAAAGAGGGTAGATTTAGATGAGATATAAGAAAGAAATTTTTCACAATGAAGGTGGTGAAACACTGGACCAGGTTACCCAGAGGGGTGGTAGATGCCCCATCCCTTGAAACATTCAAGATCAGGTTGGACAGGGCTCTGAGCAACCTGATTTCCCTGAAGATGTCCCTACTCAGGGGATTGGACTAGATAATCTGTAAAGGTCCCTTCCAACCCAAACTATTTTATAATTTCTCAGGACCCCTCCTAGCCTTAATTAATTCAGAAATGGTAGCACCATAGAAAAGAAATTTCATCAGTAAAAGTGAAAAGATAAAATATTTTTGTGGGATATAAATAGAAGTATCAGCCACATCCCTTGAAATAGTTAAAAGGTCCATGGCAGATGTATGTGGACATGTTGGCAGTGGGGGAAATTTCCTGTGCTGTAGATGTACAGGGCACCACTCTCCATAGTATCAAACTAGCAATATTTTTGAGCATTGCATCCAAAACAGGCAGGGACAGAGAGCAGTGTCGTGTTATGTTATGCTAGCATGTATTAGCACACTGTAGCTTGAGGGTATGTAGCGGGTCTATATTACAAGCCACTGAAAAGGGGGGGCCTTAATGGAAATTCAGACAGATGTTGTCTTGAGCTTCAAGACTCCTGCAGTTATATCAGAAGATAACAATACATCAGACATCTGCTGACGCACAATAAATAACATAAAAGCATTTCGCCTGCAGGCTGCAAGCATCACTGATAACTGGATAGTGAAATCTTTTGGTTGAGTGTGTATCCTGTGCAAAGGATGACCAGAATTGGTTTGACAATCAGCCTGAATGACAATGAGCCAACAAAAATTGATTACAAAGTCATGGAAAATTGGAAAAAAAAAAAAACACCAAGCAAAAACCACAAAAAAACCCACTGAAAGAGGGAAGAATATTTCCTTACTCGTGCTAGATACAAACCCTACTAGACCCTGATGTGTTGCGCTGACATGGATGGCTCAGTAAGTGCCATTGTAGCTACTGAGTCAATACTGAACCAATATTACAGCAATAAAGATTATGTTTAATTATACTGGCTATAATTAAAGCACATAGAATTACAGTAGTAATTATATTTTTATACCTGATAATTTAAAGAGGGACTTGTCATTCCCCTTTCAAAAATTAGGTGCCTAGTTTAAGTGAATTGCCCTTAGCATTTGCTGGATAAAGAGAGGTATCTCCAAGGTATGATTCACCTCATGGCTCTTGGAATAACATAAATTGCCTTCTGAGAGTCTCTTTCCACTGACTACAGATGGAGTCTAGAGAACTCCTATAGAGAAAAACTTCAAGTTTGATATGTGTAAATTTAGATGAGGTAACAATCACCCTTTAATTCCTTTCCATTTCACAAGAGCATTGCCTCTTACTTCAGTGTCTGGATGAGTTCAAATGGATGTATTTAAAGGTGAGGATTTCAGTGTTCCTGGAGTTGTGTAAAAAACACTTACTGTCTCCCACAAATTGTGCTCTCCACATGGCAACACAGAGAAAGTGGATTTTGGACTTAAGACTGTAAATGAATAATTGACTGCTAAAATAATATTTGTGAAAAGGGATCCCCGGGAACAATGATGAACTTGTTCCTCAGTGAAAAGTGCTAATTAAGCGATCTGCAGTAGTTTATATGGGTGCTGGGAGGAGATGGACAAAACTATGTTAATTATCAGCAAAGGCTTGTTGTTAGCTAACATTGATGGGAGAACTTAGCCTCTCTCAGTCATTCAGGTGGGAAGATAATTTCAGGGAATCCAGAAAAAACTAGAAAAGTAATTTCAAGAGAACATCTAATTCATCTACATATCTGCTGCCGACAACTTAATATTTATTCCCTCCTGTCCACACACTCGCATTTTTACCTGGCAAATTTTCGTGCATTTCAAAGTTTAAAAAAAATAATCAAGAAAGGACAAGGGATTTTTGGTATCATGCAAACAGTAGCTTGCACAGAGACTCTTCCCATTCAAAAGCATTAGGTAATTTTAATAACTAGGGCAAATAGTATTACCACTAGTAAGGCAGATTCTCCTTTTAATAGCAACTTGTTTGGGAGCAGCAGCTGGGTTGTATAAGGATTGAAGCTGGAGTCTAATAGGGTTTAGTTACCAAGCATGGTGAGTGCATGGGACTTTTGATCCAAGCTTAAAGTGGTGGCAGAAAGAGAGAAAAGAGAAAATGTACCAGCCTAGCTGACCATTTACAATGTTTTTTGCAAGAGAAGGGACAAGTCTGTTAGGCAACAATGCATGCTGGAAGCAGAAACAGCCCAAATTTCCAATCTTTCATTTGCTTGCTTGGTTGCTGATACCAGCTGCAAGGCATAGAAGGATGGTGATGTCTTATTTCTACAGACCACAAAAAGGAATGATGGAGCTTCTGCATCGCTCCAGGAATCTTTAGTTCCCACTGGTTTTCTACAGTATCTTTTTAAACTGAAGTCCAGCTCCAGACCACTGTAGAGTTTTAGATTTCCCTTTATACTGAGTATCTAAGTGAGGTTTTATACTCATGCTGGCCATGCAGATTTACCAGACAGAGGCAAAGAACAAAGAGAAAATACTTTACCATCTTCAGAGATGATAAATCTGAATAGTGCAGGACACTTGACAAAGACAATTTCACCCACACTTGCAGGTTTCCAGCATGTAATATTATCCCACATTCCCGGGCAACCTGTAGAAGAGAAGGAGGGATAAAATACATTAGTGGTGGAAATTCATTCCTTTCTTCACACTGTTACTGGGTTTTATAGTTGGTTCTTTCTTCTGTCCTTGGAAATACACTTCTTTCGGAATAATAAACAGTATCATTTTCTAATAAGTTTTCCCTGGAATAAAATAATTTTAATTCATAAAAATAGTATAAAATATGTAGTTGCATGGCACAATAATGATCAGACTCTATCCCTACAAAAGATGACATTTCTTAGTCCCAGTCAAATCACTCCAACCTATACCAGAAATAAATTTTCCCTCGAGCATGAAACCCGCTGCCATTTAGCTATCTTTCAGTAGTGCCGAGTTAAATCTTTTTTATTTATGGATCACATCTTTGATTTAAATTCTATAAATTTCTGTTGGCTCTAATTGTTGTCAAAGTTTTGGTATTGGCACATTTTGGAATTTGACCGAGAGAGATAACTGGAAACTGAAAAACCTTTTCTGCTTTATCCTACAGCCAGTTTTGTGGATATGTGAGGGAAGCTCACCTCATCTATGTTGTTTATTTTCGTAAAAAAATATTAGGAATAGAAATGTTCTTACTTAGTAAAGAACTGTTGTAATATCATTCACTGTCTTTACTGCAGTCTTTACTCTAGAGAATACAAATTCACAATGTCAAAAGGATGATTTTGATCTCTAATAATTTCTTGCATAAGCTAAAGACAGAATCGAGCCTTTATCAACTGTTTGGATTAGACTTCAGGTAACAATCTTTGAATTAAAGATCTGAGTCTCCTGTTACGTGTATGCAGAAAGAGAAGGTGGTAAGACTGCGGATGGGACTGCCTTTCTCTTAGGATACAGGAAAAATTCAGGTCCCATGGGCTATTGTAAATGCAATAAGGGAGCCCAGCTTCTGCTTCTCTCAGATCACTGTGTCAGAGACATGACAAACTGTGATTAGCTTTCAAGAAGCATAAGCCCTCCTGTAACCCTGTAAACTACCATCTTACTAGCTCATAAACCTAGCAGACTCATCCAGTGTACAGCAAAACAGAGCAATTTCTCAAATTTCCTGCTAATGTTTAAAAAAATGAGTTAGTGAAGGAATCTCAAATGGGCATCACCTACCTCCGCAGGAAAAGAAAAAAACCTAAATCTAAATGTCTCCACTACTTATTTGCATTTGATGTTGTGATCAAGCACATAACTTTAACAACTGTTAAAAGCTGCAAGCTCCGTGATTTTCCGAGTGGTTTTCCGTCAATATGCGCCTTCTTTGACTATGTGCCAAGGAAAATAAGACCTTCAGTAAAAGCAGATAATACTCCAAAATATACTTTCAGACTGGCACAAATACAATACAAAGAGGTATGGGTGATCAGCTTGTAAAAACGCTATGGTCTTTATCAATTTTGCAGATAGTAGCAGATTTCCATCAGTGGAGAATGTATGCTCACAGGACTGGAAATAGTGTATTTTTTCCATCAGCTTCAGTGGCAAAGAATCGAGCCCTACGTTTTCTCACAAAAATGTAAGCCAGATACTACCCTGTGTGGTGGATAGGGCAGTTCTGAGTAATACAATGTTTGAAGAATTAGGTCCATGTCAAACAACACTGTTACAATGTTACAACGATGGCATATGCTAAGCAGTTGTTAATCATTCTTTCAAATTAAAGGATGCAGCATCAGATTACATAATAATTAATAATTAATACATAATAATTAATAACCATATAGAATCCTGACCCTATTAGATAAAAATCCCTCGGCTTTGCCTGACCCACTGAAACAAAAGATTAGTGCAAAAATGTTTATTAAACCGTCGCAGGAGATGGAAAAAAGGGATCCTTTACATTTCCCCCTCCTCCTCTCTTTTTTTTTCACTCCTACCCCAGGTTGTTTCCTTTGCCATATGAGGATCTCATTGTATGAGTACTGTGGATCCCTAGAACATCTCCAAAACACTCAGAAACTAGAATTTGAAAAGTTTTGCGATACAGTTAACGTACTAAAGATGGAAATCAAGATCGCATTGAATGTTATTAGATTTTATTGTCTTTGATTACTAGTATCTGCCCAAGCAGGAGGAACTGTATTTACCATGTAAATCTGAAGACATATAGTAGTAGGTTTATAGTTCACTGGTGTACGGCACTCTGTACGAAAGTAAAGGATATGTAAATATCCGTGGTAATGAGACATTTGCTTACAAAAGATGTTAGAGACAATCAAAGTGGCTAATGAGATCTTCTGAGAACCACCTGCTAGCTTTGCTTGCTTAGATTGAATGGGTTTGATAGGAATAGGGAAAGTTTTCTTATTTCTTATTATTACTTCAACATCAGTTGTCTTCCAAACACTAGGATTGCAATAGATACTGCAAACCAACCTAGAGAAATGCAAGGAAATCCTCATATTGCAGAAAAGAAAGCGTAAACATGGAATAAGTATTTCATAGCACCATGTATCAAATTCAGTTATACCAGGTGGCTGTTTTTGTGGTAATATCATGCAGAGCTAAAAAACAGGCCCATTTGAAAAGACTTATAAGTTCATTGTGCTAGAAAGCACTCATGTGCTGACATTGGAACAGAGGGAGAGAAGCACAGAATCAAGTAATTTGCCTTAGTTACTAAAATAAGTGAGTGATGGAGATATTGGAAAGAATTCACTAAGAATGTTGCCTAATTCTGCCTGGAAAAGCATATTTGAAACAAACAATTTAGAAGAGCAAAGAAATATTAAATGGAATAAAGGCCAGCGTGAACAATCCCCTTACATTTGTAAACCATGATACAGCCAGTAACTCCTGCTGGGTGAAATCTGCCCACGGAAATCAATGTGACTTGAGTGTGAAACTGCACAGCGGGGTTCTTCTTTGGCACTGACGGTATGTCTCCACTGCCATGTGATGTAGGGATGCCCAAGCTACCTTTGAAAGAGGTAGCTCAAATGTTGCAAGCAGCAAGATGCAGCTTCAAGTAGGCAAATTTTCCTCATTCTTAGCATGTTAGAACTCATTAACAACAAGAAATACTTTTAAAGAATAAGACTTCCTCTGGTCCAGAGTGAATAAAAAACTAAAAATGGTCGTCTTGCTAATGGGTGGTCCCGCTAATGGATGACCTTGAAAATAAGGCACCTTGCAGAAAGCACAAATTCTGCTTTCCCTTCCCGTGTCTGTACTGCAAACTGCAGACTGAAATTCATGTTTGGTAAACATTGTGGGATTCATCTCAGCTAACATAAATGATGTAAAGATTGTCATCTGGTCTTGGGTAAGTGCTTATGCCCTCTTTGTAGCATGGGCAGAAGAGTGCTTCATCTTATTCAGACAAATACCTCTTCTTTGATGGGATGGATGATCCTTTGGGAGCCCCTATTCCTTGTCACTGACTTTTGAGGAAAGACAAAGTGAACATTCAACTATAGGATTAGTCAGGATTGGTTTAACTTCAGATGGCTAAGACTTACTCTTTTACCCTATTCAGCTAAGCAAAGTTTCCTCTATAGTTCATGGAGAGAGACTTTCCAGATAGAGATAATCCCATTTTAAGGTGGCAGTGGCAGTGAATCACCCTGTAAATTGTACTTCTATCTCTCCACTGACTACACACAGTAGAACGAGGGTAAGAACTAGCTTAGCCTAGACCGCTGCCTATTAAAAGTCTGAAGCTTGTATTCTCTATAGGTCTATGTGGTCTTTTGGAGTAGACATGAACCAACTCTACTCTCTGGGCAAACCACAGTGGCTGCTTATAAAAAGCCACATGATCAATCCCTACATCTCTGTCTCAAGCTTCTTCTTGTAAAAGTGAGATAAAACTGATGTTTAGACAGTAAACTCCCTGTGGCTGGATCCACCTTATACTGTTCTTGTGAAATGTACTTCAAAAAACAGAGTCCTGATTTCAACTGAAGCACAACATGGATTTTATACTAATTTCATATGAAGCCCATGACATCTAAGTTTAAATTCAATATTGTCGAAGCTGAGGGTGGTGCCTCATATACCTAAAGATGGGTCTGACTTGGCAACCACTGAAAAAGAAAAGGTCTTTCACAGAAAGGTCAAATTTCATAAGAGGGAGGAAACTATGGATATTTATCAATGCAGGATCTTCTGATGCATTTTTAAAATTACACCAGGCACTAAAAACATTTTAGTTGTCCTCCTTCCATGGAGGTCCACACAAGCCTTGTTCCCATTCTTTACTTCAAATTAAGCCTCTCAGAGCAAAACAATTTCTCTCTAATCTGCTACTCCAGGCAGCTGAATGGTTCCCTTCTTATGTGAAATATCTAGACAAGCACCAAGAGAAAAAAAATAAAAAAACCCCAGAGGGAGCCATGTTGGCAGAACAGCAGTGATAAAGAGCTCTTCTGGTATTGCTTACAGTCCCTTATCTTCTTTTTCTCCTCTGTCTAGAGTTGTCTTGAGATTCTCAGTTTTGAGAGTGGCTAGGTATAAAACCAGATTTTATGCAGCCCTTTAGCTGAAGTTAACTGAGTTCATGGAATGGAGGTCACTTTAAACCCACTGAGAACAGAGCCTGTTATCTTCCACCAATTCAGAGTCACTATGTCACCAGAAATACGTATAAACTGTTATTTTTCTGTAGAATTGTGTCCTGTTTTCTCATGGTGCCTCTACCGCAATACCCTCATTACACTCTCTATACTTAAGTCTTCTGTATAGTATCCACAACATCCTCCCATGTTCTTATCATGCCTCAGTGCAAAATGCCTCCTTCTCATCTCTGTTAACTTTTTGGCAGGAAAAGGTGCAAAAGCAGAAATGTGCTTTTTGGATGGCAAGACCCTGCATACTAATTCACTGCTCGCTCATTCACTCCCCTTAATAAAATCGATAAGTCCTACCTCTCCCCCTATCCATGAAAATAATAATTTTGACATCTTTCTTGTACTCAGCACACCATTTTCACACACATATAGGAATTTGCAACTTTGAGACTAGTGCACCTCTGTCAAATGTTGCTGACTT